CCCAATTCTAATTGAATCTTGAGAAACTCTGCAACTAGCCTTGGTAGAAAGGTATGTATGTAAGTAGGGTCTGAACCAGGAAGGGGCAATTCTCTGAGTAAAATGGGTGAGCTGTTGTGCCTCCCTTGCTCTGAATCCTTATTTCAGAGCTAAGTGACCTGGGACAGTTGTTGGACTGCTCTGTGCCTTGGTTTCCCCTGCTTCATAGAGTTGCTATGAACATTAACTGAGTAGTTGAGTACGGTGCTCACACACCCCTCTTTTCTGTAAGATTATTTCTTGCTTCCTTTGTGGCTCTGGGCTGTATTCCAGTTAGTTGAAGTCAGTTGAGACCTAGACTCCAGATAGCTGAGTGAGCCTGTCTGTGGTACTGGTTGGGGTGGTAGCCTTGAGCTAGTCCCTATTCCTGGAAGTCTGGGGTCCTCTTTGTTCTGCTAAGGCTTGCATTTGTACTTGACATCACTTAATGAATAACCATGTGTTGCTCTGCTTGTTTTATTTTGCCTATTTCATAAAATCCCAGGGCTGCTACTTAATAGTCTATTACTCTGAGTAAATGACGTGCTTTCTCTAAATTTCAGTTTTCCTAACTAAAAACATTGGGTCGATCCTACCTCATAAGGTTGCTGTGAGAATTAAAAGAAATAATGTATGCAAATGTGTCTGGTATATAGTAACAGCTTTATAAATATTAGTTATCAAAAGAAAGGTGCCCTTGTGGAACAGTAGGTTTTTTGCAAGGTCAGCAGTTCAAGTCCACCAGGTGCTCCGTAGGAGACGTATGAGGCTTTCTGCTCCCGCAAAGATTTGTAGCCTCAGAAACCCTGTACAGGGTCGCTCTGAGTTGGAACCAAGTCATTGGCACACTGCCAGCCAGTTATTAAAGAAGTGTCTTGTAGGAAGAGTGAGTGAACAGCTGACCCAGGGAGGGAGGTAATGCAGGGGAATTTAGCCATCTCAGAGAGAAGAAACCAACTATATGCAGGAGCCAGGTTAGATATCAGGATAGTATTGTCCACCTGGAAGAGTTAAAGAGGGCATGGGGGCCAAAGGAGGACTTTTCATTTAAAAGTTCACTAATTCAGCAACCATTTTAGTGAACATTGAGAGTTTCTAATGAGACTTGGTCCCTGACCTCTCGTGGGGTTGGGGACTACAGTCCTATGAGTGAGAAGGACAGACTGAGATTCTGAGAGGAAAGAGTTAGGGATTACTTTCACTTTCTCTCTGACCAATGGGGAAATGGAGGTCCAGGGAGGTCACTCAGTCAATGGGCTGGATGGATACTCCTTGCTTACCCAGTCCAAGGCCAAGTAGTTTTGGGAGGTAGGGCAGGTGACTAACTAAGGTTTAGGTCAATTGTTCAAAAAATCAGATTCAAAAAGATCATTTTACCAAAATGAGCCATACATTACCCTAACCTTTGTCTTTATTATACTAACTCATTTCAAATTTGGTCGAATGATTTCATCCCATCTTCAAGAATATTTGCAATCTTTTTTTTTTTTTTCCTTTCCATTTTTAGACTTCCAAGGCTTTTAACGGAACTAAGTGGGAACATTAGATGCATTGACTATTAAGAATGTTAAATTTCTTGTAATTGAATAAAATAGAAAAAAACCCACCAAAATAGTTGAAAGTATTTGAGAAGAATTGGATGACTGCTTCAGTGTGGCGAGATCCAGTCATTCAGAACAGAACCTCTTCATCAAAGGTTCCTTAGGTAACTGAAGCCATAACCATCTCAATAGGGCTGGAGGGGTTTTACAGATCTGGAGAGTCGGGGTCAATGCAAACCCAGGAAGGCACTGGCTAATGCCCCCCCCCCACCTTTAAGGCTTTGAGTTGTGTGGGGGGGGGGGCAGGGAAGGCATAAGCCAATTACTAGTATATGATGCTGCTTGGGAGACTTGAGAGCTGGGGCAGTGGGTCTGTGTGAAGGTAAGGGGACACAAGATGCCAAATTTGTGAGCCCTGGTGTGGCGCTGTAGGATAAGCCCTGGACTGCTAACCGCAAGGTCTGCAATTTCTACCCACCAGCCACTCTGGTCGCTGAGTCCAACCGACTGGAAGGCACTTAACAACAAGGGCCTAGGGCCGAGGTCTTATAGCTAGGCTAGTGAGGATTCAGGGTCACGCGTTTCTGAGTGAGCTAGAAGGAAGAGGAAATGTAGTGATCTAGAAACTTGGCATACGGAAGAAAGAGGTTTCTTAGCCAAGCATCGTGGGTTCCAACAAAAGTGCCACCACTCCCTCACTGGGGGAGCTGGGCTCGTGCCTAAAAGACTGGGAGGTCCAGCTTCCTCAACTGTAAAATGGAACTACCTAGATGTATTCTCCTGGGACCTCATAAGGATTGAATAACGCAAGAGAACATACCCAGGACAGTGCACTTAGTAGGTATGCAAAACAGCTTATTATCCCCGCCTCCGCACTCCTGTCAAAGAAGAAGCGAGGCGCGAGGCTGGGCTGGGCTGGGCCGGTCCAGCCAGGTGAGGACCCTTCCCTTCGGGAGCCGCCTCCCCCAGCCCAGCCACTTTCGCCCGCACATTTGCTGCCTTCGCTGCATCCCTATTAGGCGCATTAGCCAGCTCGTAGGCTCCGGTTACAGACGTCTGAATGACAAAGTGCCTCCATTACCGGCGCAGCCCGCCAGCCAACCCGCCGGGACGCGCTCTGGTTTCAGCACTCTCGCCGCGGCCCAGGAAGAAAGTCGGACCGCGGTGGTGCGCAGAGTTGGCCTAGGTACCACTGCTGGCGTCTGGGCGGAGGACAGGGCCGCTGGGCGGCAGGAGGCAGGTTCTGCACGACTGCCTCCTTACCGACCCCCAAGGCCCGCCACGCCCAGCTCCTGTCCTTCCTGGCCTCTTCTCTACTGGAGGACACTCTCTCCTCCTGCCCTTCTGGTACCCACACTGCTGGCCGCCCAGCTCTCCTCCCCACTCTTAATAGAGAAGCAGCTCGGCCGGGCGGCATTAATCAGCAAACGAGCCCGCGGTCACTCCCAAAGCCCGGCACGAAGCCACAGGTACTGCCAGCTCTAGGGGTCCGGGGCTGAGTTTCGGGATGGGACCAGCGCCGGAAGAAGGCTCTGCTACTCCGCCCCCGTATTCCACTGCGACCTGACTGGGGATGGTGTCAGCTCCCCTGCCGAACTGGTGTGCCTTTGGGGGCGGGGAAGGACCGAGCTAGGACTCAGATGCGGGGAAGTCTAGCTACGACTCTGCCCCAGCCTGCTTGTGGGATCTTGGTCCAATCGTTTAAATCCTCACTGTCTCCGTTTCCTTCTCTGTAAGGTGGGGATATGGGGGTGCAATGCTCAGATGAGAGAAGACCGGGAGGGTGAAGACGCCTGCTCCATTGCCGAACCTTCCCAGGCACTCAGTTCGTGACCACCCACTAGGTCACTTCTGCAAATCGTGTCAGAACTACCCCGAGGGTTCAGACACTACGAGAACCTATCCTTGGCTGAGTCCGTGCCTCGGGTCACGGTTGGGCAGAATCAAGAGCCGGACGCGGGCGGGCTGCCTACCCTTCGATGCGCTGGAGCCCAGGGAGCGGCAGAAGAGTCTCTGAGGTCGCGTGACTTTTGGGGCGCGCAGCTGTGGACGCCACAGGCTGCGTCCCACAGCGCCCCCTGCGGGCCGCCAGCAGCTGGCGCGGCTGGGGGCTGTGTGCTGCCCCGACGGTCCCTGCCTAGAGTGCCCAGAGCTCTGCATACTGAGCTGTGGCCGCTTTCAGACCCGAGCGAAAGACGCACGCTCCATCCCTCCCGGTTCGCGGGCGCTTGTTCAAACCGCTAGCACTAGCGCGTCTTAGGAGCCCGCCTGCCGTAGGCTAGCCGAGAAGTGGGTTCGCCTCCCGAAGTGGTCGCTCCCTCTCCTAACCCGGCTCTCTAGCCGCAACATCCCACCTGGGCGAGGCCGAGGAAAGAGAGCGGGAGAGGCGCGGGAATCGCCTTCTGAGCTCCGCCGCGTCCACGTCTCTTCTCTCCTCCTCCCACTGTCCCTTGGCTGGTCGGTGCCCCTTTTTCCCCGACGCCTTATGTTTCGCATCCCCTTCTCGATCTGCTTTCCTTTTGCTTCCACCTCTCTACCGCCTTTTCTGCCAACCGTAACCCACCTAGATGCACTCCTCGACTGTCCTCCAGCTCCCGAACCTCTTCTTACGACGCCCCTCCCCCCCATTGTCTGGCCGGTCCCCATTGTCCGATACCCGGTCCCCTCAGCCTTCAGTCCCTTCAACCTCCTCCCCCATTGTTCCATCCTCTGGTCTGTGGCTCCTCACCCCAGCCCTTCACCCCAGCCCTTGTCCCATTCCCTCTCCTCTCGGTCTGTCCCACGACCCCGGAGCACCCTTGAGATCCTTGCATTCAAGCTCCCTCTTTTGAAGAACCCAGGCATCTGAGAGCCCCATAACCTCCTTCTTAGAGACCCCTCCCAGCTCTTCCCGCATCTCTCCGCGGTACCCGAGGACCGGCATCCGTGTGCCGCTCTTGTTCACTCTTTGCCCTGGAACCCTGGAATACACAGGGTCTGCGCTCCGAGATCCTCGACGCTCCTCGGAGTATCCCAACATCAAAGCCCCTCTCTCGCCTCTAGCCCCTAATATCCAGGACCCCAATACTCTATTCTGTCTCCAGGGTGGCGGCGCCCTGTTAACCTCGGAAGCGGACTCCCCATCGGCGAGCACTCACCCCCAGCAGCAGCAGTAGTAACAGCAGGCGCGGCCCATCCATGGCACGGTCCGCGGCACCTGCCCCCATCACTGGTCTTACACGGCCGCGCTCGGCTTCCAGCACGGTCGGCTCTGCGGGCCGATAGGGCTGCGCTGCGCTGCGCTGCGCTCCGGCGCCTGCCGCCCGCTGGAGCTAGCTGCGGCTCGGCTCGCTCTGGCTGTGGCGGGAGGGGCTGGGTGAAGCCAGTGCGGCGGCCCCGCCTCCTTCCCGCCCAGCCCCGGAACCGTGCCCGCCGCGCTGCCTCGGGGAGGGGAGCTGAGAGATGGGAGGGCGTACGGCAGTCGAGCCGGTGCATCCCGCTGTCGCTTCTTCGCGCTCAGGACTTCCGAGACTCTATCCCACCCCACCCTAGTACCCGCTGCCCAGTACGGATACTGTAGGCCCAGTGGCCAGGGAGTTCCCGTTCTTCTCTGGCAGTGGACCGCAGCAGAGCTTTACCCATCTTCCTCCACTCCTGGCTTTGGTTTCATCCCGGGAACTTGCGTCCTATACCGCTGTTATCTGCAAAAGTGCCCCTGCCGCCCTGCCCTTCATCCCCTGGTCCCTTCCCCTCCACTCATCCTTTTCAGTGCCAAGGTCTAGGGGGGTGGGAGGAACAGCAGGTGACTTAGAAGGGGCGTAGATCAGACATTCAGTATGGAGTCCACCCTGGTATCATTTGAACTCTCAAATGATGGATTTGAAGGAATCACAGGTGTACACACAAAACACAAGAATACACAGAAATACAATCTGAAGCTCACATGATTCTGTACGGATGCACTCACATATGCCTTAGCTGGATCTGCTCTTTCTACACATGCGCTAGATGGAAAACCATGAACACACATGTCCATCTCCACTCTAATGCACACATGCAACCTCATGGCACATGTGGACGTAATACTCCAACACACATACTCATCTACACATTCAGGCACATACATATACAACATCGCGCATGTGTGATTACATCCACACAAGCCCTCATGTATGTAGTCTCTCACGTTTGAATGCACATTCATGAACACTCACACACAGATACATCCTTAACATAATACACTACACTAACTAGACTGTTTTCAAGGAGCTCTGGTAGTGTAGTGGTTACGAGTTGGGTTGCTAACTTCAATGTCAGCAGTTTGAAACTACCCCATAATAGGAAGATGAGGCTTCTGCTCCTATAAAGATTTACAGCCTCAGGAACCCTATTCAGGATCACTAGAAGTGAGAACCGATTCCTCAGTATATAACCACCAGACCTTTTCGTTCTATCCTGGTGGGTAGGAACTTCGAACCTTTGGAGGTTTGAATGCCCAATACACAGTAAGTCTTCAATAAAGAACAGGTCCTGTCCACAGGACCACATTTACCATGCAATGTGGTGGTGGTGGTGTGCAGTGGAGTTGGTTCCGACTCACAGCAACCCTGTACAGGATTTCCTAGGCTGTAAAGCTTTCCGGAGGCAGAAAGCTTCATCTTTCTCCTGCAGAACAGTTGGTAGTTTCGAACTGCTGACCTTGAGGTTGGCAGTTCCTCAAGGATTCATAACCACTATGCTACCAGAGTTCCTTACATGCAATGTAGATAGGTCCAAATCAAAGGTCCTTCCAATCCAGGGAGTGTGCTAAGAACACCATTCCCCATCTTGATGCTCAATCCCTCATCTTTCCTGATCCCCAGACATGAGGTCACCAGGGCACAGAGCTATAGGTGACTAATTTACAATGCCCATCTCAGCACCCTTCTGTTGGCCATATTTGGACCTCAATTTCCTCTTTGGAAAAATGACACCAGTACAAGGGGACGATCAAAAACACTTAAGTAGTTGTAAGTGATTTCCTAGATTTATAAAAACAAAATCAAATATATTGCTGTCAAGTGGATTCTGACTCACGGTGACCTAGATCAGCTGAAAGGAATTCATTCCTTTGTGTAAAAAGATCTGCCCTCTGGATTTCTTTCCTGAATAATCAACAATGTCTGGGGGACAGCCCCAGAAGGGACAAGTGGACATCACTGTGACCTGGAGCATCAGTGTTGGTGATGAGCCACTGTCCCTATGGCGGGATATAAGCAGCTGGTCAGTGAGCATCTCTTCAGTAGTGCCAGAGGATGCATTTCTCCTGGAGAGGGGCTGCCTCTAAGATGCCTTCTCCTCCCAGGGCTTTTATGGACCTGCCTTTCCTCTCAGTGAAATTCATGTATTAACAGCAGCATCAAGCTGCTTACTACCAAGGGTATCGACAGTGTGGCATTAATTTAAATACTCCAGTTATTAATCTATGATCCTAGTTACTATTATTGCCAAGGTTATCCACTTCAACACTTTAATATGAACCACAGTAATGTGGCTGGGCCTGAGTTATTAATAATTTCCATTGTCTTGATCATTTAAGCCTTACTTGAACAATTACAAACAGCAATTGTTACTATTATTAGTTTACTCCTAAGAGTAAATCCAGCACAAGACCACGCTAAGTGCTGGCTGGAAGAGTGATCTTGAAGTGTATGAAGGCATGGGGAGTCAGACACGCCTGCATATGAATGCCTGCCCCTTCCCCCAAGACCCTGTTTATTCTAGTGTGGTTAGACAGGTTACTTCACCTTTTTCAGCCTCAGTTTCCTTACCTATAAAATGAAAAATTAAAAGATCCTGCTTGAAGGGATCTGCTGATTCAGTGAGGTCACATAGTATTTTCACAAGGAGATACTCAGTTCCCTTTATTCATTCAGCGTGTATCTATTGAGCAACTACCATATGCCACATATTGTTCTGGACACTGGGGCTGAACCGTAAACAATAGAAGTGGTCCTCATGGAGCTGATGCCCCCATGTGTGTTTTTTTGATGTGAAAAGTTGTTTTATAATGTGGCATATTGATCTGAGCATTCTGTAATTGTCATCAAGATATTCCTTTGCTGAGATCCCTGACATCATCTTGAGGACTAGTATCATCATTGTTGCAGCCATGGCAACCACCTACACCAGTGGCTCTGACCGCTGCCAACCACCACCATCACAACCAACTACACCAGCACCACCATGACCATGACCATGACTATCTCTTCACAACTATCACTACCGTAATCATCACAATCAGTACTATAACTACCACACCATCATCACCACCAAAACCATCATCACCACCGCCATTGTTGCCATGGTTATGGCCACCATCACCGCCCACCTTCTTGTATCTGCACCACCAACAAGCAGCAGGGATCGCTGTCTCTAATGAGAAGAGAGTCTTTCTGGGTGTTGGAATCTGTTCCTGTTTCTAGAAACAATATCAGAGGTTTCATGGAGCCTCTGCTTGCCTAAGCCCACCGCTCTAGTGGTCTTAACTCCTAGCCCCAAATATGAACACTCTTCAAAGATTTCTCCCTGGCTTGGCAAGCCACACACGCTCTCTAGTCCCCCTTTTCCATTTCTTCAGCATTTGCAGCCACAGCTTTGGGATGAAGCATGGGAGAGAGATCTGAATTGTTGACCAGCAAGTGGGATCAGACAGGTAGTAAAGGGCAGAAGTTTTCCCTAGAGGATCCCCTAGAATTAGTTGCACATAGAGAGGACGTCTTCCCTACCCCACTTACCCTAAGGCTTTCTGGACCTAAGGGTTGAAAATCATGAATGCAATTCTGCATGGAGCTAGGAGTAGTTTTGGTGGGTGAAACTATATCTTCAGGAGTCAAAATGTGTCTCCTCATATTCATCTTTCCACCTCACCTTTTCTCTACCCTTGTAGGAGGCACACTTCCTAATACACTTTTCCTGCTCTTCCATTCAATTCAGA